ATATATATATATATATAATATATATATATATATATATATATATGTATATATTATATAATATATATATATATATATATATATATATATATATATGCAGTGTAGTATATACCAGTGGCATGGTATAATATGGCTGGTTTTATATAGTACATAGTTCATCAGAGTAAATGGAGTACTCTGAAGGGAGTTTGTATTTAGTTATCGATATTGTGGTTATGACTGCAGCACCAGTACCTTCATTTGATTTAGATGCATCTGTGTATATATATTTATAATCCTTGTAGTTATGAAACATATAATTAAAGGCGGATTTGATGAACTGTGGGTTTGTTAAATGTTTGTCGAAAGAAATAAGGCAGGTTAGGCACTCAGGGTTCTTTATTTGCCATGGAGGAATGAAGGACGATTTGGAGGGAAAGCGTTCTGGGAACGTGTAGTTTAATTGATTTAAAAAGCTTCTAATCTTTGCGTAGGAGAGTTTTGCAGTTTCGTATTGTTTAATTCTATGTGCAACTGTATTATTACATATTTGCCTTGTTACTTAACAACTTTAATCTAATTCTTAATTATTTTTTACTTATATTTTTTATCTCAAACATCTCTATTTATCTATTTATTTATATATACCTAATATATATTTACCTAAATACCAATTTAACTAACTCAACATTCTTTAACCCGTGTAACCCCTGTTCCCAATCTTGTTTATTAAAAATCTTCATTATCATTGTACCGTTAGACCTAGACAAGTATTATTAACATTCCCTTTATTATAGTCATTTGTAATAATTAAAATCTCATTAGTGACTAAGCAAGACATATTTTAATTTTCGTTGGTTGTGCTTATAGAGCCGATGAACCCGTCTAAGACGTTTCGTTAAATCAACAATTTGTTTTAACTTAAGTACAATAGAGCCCAACTAATTAGATATTTCAGGGTATATTATATGTTGAAGTTTAGTTATCTCGCGTTGGTTGAAAAAGGTAAATAGGTAAATATTGCATTCCAAATTACAAACGGAGATATAATACGGACAAAGATATAGACATAGATATAGATATATATTAGAATAATCTATATTAATCACCGATAGAAGAAACATTTTTTTTTACTTTCCTTCAACAAAACAGAAGTAATGACAAACACGGAAGACCAAGAGACAATAAAAAATACAAACAGAAAAAATAGAATAGTAAATGAGTATATCTATCTAGGACAAGCAATCAGAACTAACAGAGAAAATCAAACAGCTGAAATATCGGGACGAGTAAAAATGGGATGGGCAGTGTTCGGCAAATTTTCTTACGTTCTAAAAAATCAAACAATCCCTCTATACTTACGAAGCAAGGTATATAACTCCTGTATAATTCCGGTGCTCACCTACGGAGCACAGATATGGACATTTACACAGGCCAATTTGGACAGGATAAGGAAGGCATAAAGAGCGATGGAGAGACAAATGTTGGGTATATCACTTAAAGATAGAAAACGTAACCAGTGGATCAGAACCAGAACACAGTAGACGCGATAGAACAAGCAGCAAAACTGAAATGGAAATGGGCTGGATACAATGAACGTCTCCAAGGCGGCGATGCAGACCAGAGATGAGGTAGAAAGATGACATCAGGAAACAAGGAGGTCCCACATGGCAGAGAATAGCTCAAGATAGGGAAAGATGTAGAAAACTGGGGGAGACCTAGTCTACTGACAGTTGTGTTGTATTTACGCAAAATATGGTTTTGGTTTTCACTATGCACTATTGGGTGTCTTCAGGTCGTGGTATGTTTCTGAACGTTTAATGTTGAAATTTCTTTGTACAACATGAGTCAACTGGCAGATCCGAGTCCTTTGATATCTAATGTATTGTATTATAATTAATATTTTTATAAGTATTTTTTGCATATACAGAGTGGCGCAAAAGTCTGGAAACGGCTAATTATCTCGTAAAATGCTAATCATAATTGTACAAAGTTTGAGGTACACCTATTTTGGGACACGGAGATTCCATATTTGATATTTACAATGTTGCCAGATTTGCCGTTTTTCTTATATTATTAGTAACTTTGGTTTTTCAAATACATCACCCTGTATATTCAGTCATTATTGGAATCTCCTATTAAATACGAGTTCAACCATATGTAACACTTATGATTTTATGTAATCTGGAAGGTCATAAATACATAAAACCGAAGTCTGGCAACGCCTAAATTGTTTCAACAAATTTTTTAATACTAACTATTTTCAAATACATTAAAACGTAACAATTGATAGTTTAGAACATTTTTTAACATAGCAGTTACGTTATTAAGTGTTCAAAATGTGCTCAATTTGTGAGTTGACAGCACCCTAATCGATGGTAGAAGGCGTCTACCACATTTCTCCATGATTGTCTAGAAATTATTCGAGATTCATTGATAATTTGTTGCCTTAGCTCTGCAAGACTTGCTGGTTAAGTTTTGTAAACTGAATTTTTCAAGTATCCCTAATAAAAATAATCTTTTTGATTGAAATCGGGTGAACGTGGAGGCCATTCAATTCTACCTTGTCTACCAATTTATCGTCCATTAAATATCTCACCTAAATATCGCCGAACATTTACACCAACTATCTGACGTTAAATTTCTTTCGACAAAAAATGACCCAATTGAATAAGTAACTACTATATCTGACCATACATTTAATTTTTGTTGTCTTTGAGTATGGTTTTCACGCATTCAGTCTTCAGTGTGAATTTACGTCACACCAGTACCTTAAATTGTGTCGATTTACACTTCCACACAGTGTAAAAGTTGCTTCATCGGAAAAACATATTCTGTTAACGAAATTTTAATAATTTTCAATTTTATCCATCATTACCTCAGTAAACTCTAATCTACGACCAAAGTCATCTTCACTTAATTCTTGCAATAAGTTAATTTTGTATGATTTAAATTTATTTTTACGTAATAAACGTAAGACTGAAGAATGACCTACATCATGTACTTGTGCAACCCTGCCTGGGGATGTATGTGGAACTTCAACAAAACTTTGCTTATATCTGAAGTTTTGTTGTCATTGATTACTCGTTTCGGTCAACCTGATCGGTATCTATCTTTTACTTCTCCAGATTCCTCAAATCGCCTTACAGTTTTTTGTACCGTCGTCTTATGAATAGGGGGACGGTTTAGAGAACGGCATTTTAGAGAAGCAATTTAAATTGCAGAACTTTTTGAACCACAACTACTGTCAATTTTAGTTCATAATTTAAATGGTGAACAAATGTCAAAATCACAGCATTCTCCATTTAAATATTTAAATTTATTGAAATCTACATATTTTGCACTGTTTTATGTATTTAAGATCTTTCAGACTACATACAATCAAGTGAACATATGGTTGAACTCATATTGACTAGCTGAACTCGTGTGAAATTCACACTGAATGCGTGAAAACCATACCCAAAGACCACAAAAATTAAATGTATGGTCAGTTATAGTAGGTACTTATTTAATTGGGCCATTTTTTATCGAAAGAAATTTAACGTCAGATAGTTGGTGTAAATGTTCGGCGTTATTTAGATGAGATATATCCTGGACGATAAATTGGTAGACAAGGTAAAATTGAATGGCCTCCACGTTCTTCCGATCTCAGTCCTAAAGATTATTTTTATTAGGGATACTTGAAAAATTCAGTTTACAAAACTTAACCAGAAAGTCTTGCAGAGCTAAGGCAACGAATTATCAATGAATCTCGAATAATTTCTAGACAATCATGGAGAAATGTGGTAGACGCCTTCTACCATCGATTAGGATGCTGTCAACTCACAAATTGAGCACATTTTGAACACTTAATAACATAACTGCTTATGTTCTACACTACCAATTGTTACGTTTTAATGTATTTGAAAATAGTTAGTATTAAAAAATTTATTGAAACAATTTAGGCGTTGCCAGACTTCGGTTTTATGTATTTATGACCTTCCAGATTACATAAAATCATAAGTGTTATATATGGTTGAACTCGTATTTAATAGGAGATTCCAATAATGACTGCATATACAGGGTGATGCATTTGAAAAACCAAAGTTACTAGTAATATAAGAGAAACTGAAAATCTGGCAACATTGCAAATACGAAATATGGAATCTCCGTATCCCAAAATAGGCGTATCACAAATTTTGTATAATTATGTTTAGTAATTTACGAGATAATTAGCCGTTTCCAGACTTTTGGGCCACTCTGTATGTAAATTTATAGGGCCTAGTAGTATTATTTAATTTCTTTTTGGTATGTATTTATATACTTTTTTTAAGTTGGTCGTTGATTGATGTGTTTGCTTTTAAAATTAATAACTTTATTACTGCTATTAGGTCGTTTGTGAATTTAAAGATTGTAATATTAGTTACGTAAAATGACACCACAATTCATATGATTATTTTATTATTCCTCCTGATATCTGCCATCGTATTGGTGAGGTATTTTTGCTGCTCTGTTTTATTTAGGACGGGTTTTTTTTAAGTTCATCGTTTTGATTTTTTATTGGATTTATACCTGAAGTGATGTAAAAACTAAATTTTGTTGGTGTAAAAAATGGTGAAACTATCACCTGAAACTGCTCGATATTGTGAATTAAATATTTTCATCATGCGCTCAGTTTTTTATGTCTCAAGCCAAGTTTTTCGTTAATACACACACATATTTTTAAATGTCAAAGCAGAATAATATATCCAGTAAATATTATCGACTTCTGCATAAACCATTCATTTAATTACCCATTTACTATGTTCTTGTCAATTCGGAAGCCTTTGTTTAAATTTTGCCATAGATACAAATTTAGTTTAGCATTCAGTACCACCAGATACTTTTATAATATTGTATTGCTTACATTTATTTGATCGACATCTCTAATATACAAACCCAAAAGGATTTTGAAAAGCGTAGGAGGAAAACCATCCTGTATAAAACATGCTTATTTACTAATTAAAAACTCATCAAGCTTTAAATTGGGTATTATTTTCTTTCAGGTCATTCTTTTATCCGATGAAGCATCTCTAACAACGTACATAACAAAAGATCAAGCGCCGGCTAGTTGCGGTGGTACCTGCACGCACGATCAGCTTGAATGGGTGGAATTCTTCAAACAACTGGAGTCGTTCCTAATAGAGTGTAAAACCGCTGGAAAAACTCTGTTTACTACTCTGTCATTGTTGAGAAACGAGGAAGTTCCTAATCAAGTCACGCGTAGGTTCCTAAACCATCAGTGCAGGTAACTATTTTTTATTTATAAATTTGTATTAGAGTCCACACATATTTTGAACGGTTCTAAACTCGTTAAAATGACAGCTTGGTATTGTCGCTGCTAGAATTTCTTCCTAATAATAATGACCAGTAGAATCCAGTTAAAAAATAGTGTATGGGTAGAACGGTAAAATATTTGGCGATTCAACAGAGCTAACGAACTTATCACCTCCACTAAGTTATACATTTTAATAAACTTGAGAATAATTGTATACACCTTATTAATATTGAATGATAGCAAATGAAGTAGATAGAAAAGGGGGGACTATACCAATTTAATATAAGTGTTTAGGGAAGCTTCTATGTCGAAATTTTAGCCTACAAATAGTCACAATATCATTTCTTGTAAAATCGTAATCTTGGTACTACAAAACTGTCGAAATCCTTAGATGTATATAACCTTAGATTAATGAAACGATTTGCAGGACTCTCAGTAGATTTATAATAATATTCTCTGAAAGGTTTGATCAATACTAAAATGTTTTTTCTTAACCCCAGACCGATAGAAGAGTTATTATTAAACGAATAAGGAAAGAAATGCACATTGGATACATTATTTAAGACAAACGATGTGTATTACTTCAACTTATTATGCAAAAATGATTGAAATAAGATCAGTATTGTAAAATCACGTATGATTAAATATTACTGAGCTTTAAAATAAAAAGGGCATTTGCAGAGGAACGTACTTTCACGATTCACCTTAATTCAATTATCCTGCAAGTACCGTCAGTTATTATGTCATAAGAAAAACGATTTCAAAACGAGTCAATCTCGTTCATATCCGAGATATAGATAATGAAAACGTTAAATTAACGTTAATTTGAAGTTAAGGAGTTCCCTAATTAACTATCCGAGATTAGCTGCTTTCAAAGGCATTCCTTGATAGTTATGTAGGTACCTAGTTGTCGTAAATCCAATACAGTTACGTTATGCTGAAAGATCTACTGTGAACACACCTTCTAAATTGGCTGCTTAAAACATAACCATTATATTTAAAGTATATGATGAAATGTAACAATAAAACACTGAGAACTTTGTTTTCAAACTTCCACAAAAATTTATTTTAACTCTTATCACTTCAGCTGTTTCGGTTGATTGCCTTTCTCAAGTGATCTATTTTTGGCATGCGTTTACACTTTATAGTCTCTAATGAAATAGGTTGAGGAGGGGAGAATTGTTTGTCTTAAGTTGGTCATTCAGAATTAAATCTGTGTTTTTTAATTTGTTGATTTCCATAGATTCTAACAAGGGTAGCTTAAGGCCTTTATTTTAAATGTGAGAATTTTAAATTCGTCATTACAAGAATGATTGTGATCTAGAAGGTGAAGTACGTATGTAGAATCTGTTTTTCTATAATTGAAAGCCCTTTTATGTTCTGCTATTCGTTTATTAAAGTTTCTACCAGTTTGACCGATGTAAGTTTTTGGGCAGCCGCCACATTTAAGTTTGTACACACCACTGTGTAAGTGTTTTTTTTTTTTCTCTTGTTGTTTTTGATATATTTGCCTAGGTTGTTATTTGTTCGGAAAGCTGGTGTTATTCCTTTCTTTTTTATATGTTTGGCTATATAACCTTATAACCTTATACGATAATAACCTTATACGATACATAATGTTTTGGTAGTCGTCGTGTTTATTTTTTCAATCTTGATATAATCATTATCCCCTCTCCTTTCATTCCTCAACACGGGCCGGATGCGGCCCGCGGGCCGCCAGTTGGACAACCCTGGTTTAGATAGTCTATCAGAAATAAAAAAAACACAAGCAATGTACAATATTCCAAAAAAAACCCAAAATACGTGATTACAATGACTAAACGGCGTCACAACAGCGGTGCACTAGTAATTTTTACGATGGTTTTTCATTGTAAACCTTATTTACGCAGAATATCCAATAGCGTCAAAGTGACAAATAATCCATATTGCCGGATAACTTACGCGGTTTTTTGTTCGCACAACTTTGCCTCATACTTCAGTGAAAAATCAGAATAATCTAGGAGGCACCAAGAAGCCGAACTGACAACGGGTCAGGCGGCTGCAAAAAACAGTGTCATCAAAGTTAAGGACTTCTTTGGACACTTGATTTCAAATTTAAAATATCTGATAAACAAGTAAAGCTGAAAGCTTGAATGTACCACCACTGCATAGAAAACGAAAGAAACTTTACAGTTCATAACGTCATTGGTAGGAATCTTTCAATTTGAGGTAATTAGCAATTTATTTATTATGACAGAATATATCTAAATGCTCAATTGCAGTTTTCTGACTTTTAGAAACGATCAAAGGACATTTTGTGGACTTTACCTGCCACGATGTGCAGGCCAATGATTAATTTGCAAATATCTTCAGGTCTATTTTAAAATCCTGGTTTTATTGCTGTGATAAATTTGTACCATCTACGAGTGTATTTATGCCAATTGGTAATGAGTTTACGTGAACCCATTTTCATCTGTGTACCTTTTTTTATAATTCTTCTCTCGTTGTTTTCAGTTAGAATGGGTATATATATTTTTCTTGTAGGAGGCTTCTTTAAATTTTTCTGTGGAGGTTAGACATCACATATTTTATTGATTCTAAATTTTTTTATTCTTTAAACTTTTTCTTTGCAGTCCGATGATTTTATTTTTTATTCTTTGTCATGCATCTTCTACTTCTCGATCTCTTGATATATTTCCCCATCATATCCACGGCAAAAAATTTTTCACGCGAATGTCACACGCGAAATAAAAATATTCATATGCTTCATCTGGTAACCAACTTTATCTCTCAAAAGATCTTTTGCTTTTAATGCTCCGAAATTAAACATATTAATGGAAAATAACATCGCAATCTTTTCCTATTTTCTAAGAATTAAAACAAAGAGGTGTATTACAAAACAAAATCTGAGAAAATCCCATAATTTTGGGTGCATTTATTTATTTTGATATTACTAAATATTTCACTAATTGTTCTTAGCAATAGTTTTTACGAAATTTTGATAACGACTGATAAATAAAGATAAGATAAAGCGCATCAACAATTGATAGTCATAGATATTATTAACGAATTATTTTACTTTATAATAGTGTCTGTCCTCAGTTTTGCATATTATTAGTGTTGAACAACATTTTTATTTCACCAATGAGTAACAGGTAATAAACATCGCTGTTTTCCTTTTATTAAACATTAAACACTGTGATAAGTTCTGCCATCAAAACGATCCGTTTCACATACATTGTTTGTTTATTTACAGACAAATAACAAAAGCGCTGGATTTTGAGAACGTTCAGAAACTACAAAAAGATGGAAAACACACGTTGACCAGTCTGGAGGAAAGAAGTCAGTGGCTTGCTAGCAGCAAGGATGTTCAGAGGGGTAAACAGAGCGCCAGTGACACTTTCCATGCGGTTGAGAAGGTGACGAGAAGGCTGGAACAGTTGAAACATGAGCGGATGGAGAAAATGAAAGAGTTGGCGAAATTTAGAACGTTACAGGAAGAAGCAGAGGAGGTAAGTTGATTCTATTTTAGTCGATTGTAGACACATATATTGTTTGTAAAAAATCGGTAAAAATAAGTAAAGACTTTTTGAAAATATAAAATAAAGTTATGAAATTACTTTTCTTCTAAAAATGTTTTAGCAAAACAGGTCTGAACCATATTCTCTGGACATTAAAATAGTATTGTATTATTTCGTCCATTATTATATTAAAGGGAAGTGGGCTTAACGAGTCACCCTGTCTGACTCCGCTTTGTACTGGTATACACTGTGTTAGTTTTCCATTTCTCTTTGCCTGTATTCGATTATGCAAATAGGTGTTTTCGATGGATTGGATAATATTGATTAATGTGTTTCTTTTATACAATAGGTGTAAGATGTCTTTGACTTAGATGCAATTGAAAGTCTTTGTCAGGTCTATAAAACGTAGATATGCAGGTTTATTGTACTCGATGGCCTTTTTTATGACCGATAGATAACTTTAATGTCATTTTTGGATAGGAATAGTCTATTATTGATTAGGCCAGTACATTAAAGAGGCTGTCATTAACCAATTTATCTCCTCCGTCTTAGGATTCGCATGGTACAGTACGGAATTGGATTACGTAGAAGTAGGGAATTGGAATCTTCTATTTCACTAGTATAATATACATATGCATACTCTTATATAATCGTTCATTGTGTAGTAGAAATCAACAAAGGGCTTCTTCATGTATCAATTGATGTGCTTACAGTCGAATGTCTATGGGTGCTTTTGAGATCTCCACTGTAGTCTCCATGCTAGTGTGGGAATATCGAGACCAATCCGAGTGACTGGAGGAGTATAACAGTGTCATACAGTGATGAATACGAGGTCATGGTGAAATTAACGACAACAAACGGGCTAATAAAACTGTTAAAAGAGGATCAGTTATAATATACTTTGCTCCACAGCTGCCGTCAGTAGTGTTAAAAAGTACTTACTACGAATGAACTGTTATTGCTCTTCTTTACTAACCTTTTTCTTTTCTCCAGAGCGTCAAGATCGTCGCCTAAGGTTGATAGCTCTATAAATCAATGGATTACAGAAAATAAAAAGACCATTTGCAAATCTCAGCTTTGCAGAACATGGAAATTTTATTACATATCACCTTATGTGTATGGTATACTGCTAAGTTGCGCCATCTTGTTACAAAAACAACTCATAATAATCAAAATTTAATCAAATGCATCCTCTAATAATTTGTTGAAAAATGAATGGCCCAACAATAAGATCCCCAAAAATTCCTGCTCATTCGTTTAATTTTAATGGCTGTTGTGTATGTGTTTCATGAAGACTCCATGATTTTCTCCGGCTTAATAAAGGCACTATGTTGATTTACAATACCATTTAGAAAAAAACGAACATATGTTTATTTTCTTGTTCATAATCTCATAAAATTATAGTCGCCTAACTGAATTATCTTCATGTATTTCCTGTATCAAGTGTATGTTCCAAGGAAGAAATTTGTAATATTTCACTACTTTTTGCATAGTATTACGTGACAAACCAGATTCTCCAGCTATGTTTTTAGTACTTGAAGTACTACTTCTTTCGCTTCAGTTCTAACACGTTTTTTACACTCTCAAATACTGTCTTATGATTTATAACACACGTCAATCAATTATGGTACTGGAAGGGAGAGGATTGGCAAATGACATAATATGTCTTTATCGTTAAAAGATTGCCTCTTCTGAATAAAAGTCGACCTGGTCCAGCATTTTAACAAAATCTCACGAATATTTGTCAAATATTATGGTGGACTCTTTTGAGTTTTGAGATGGGGTGGCGTATAAAGACAATTGTTGAATCATTAAAACATCGTTAAAAATCTTACCTGGTACGTGTGTTGAGGGTACTCCGAAAGCGTTCAGTTTTAAGGTTAGTGTGTCTAAATGTGGTCGAGCCATTTCCACGACGCATGGTATATATACAACGTTAGAACTCGTTGATGTACCGACAAATAACAGTACTCACCGCGCCGATGAAAGATCGTGAAGTCTGCCCTATTGCACGGCGTATGAACTCACAAAGTTCGCGCCGTGTGATCCCGGCTTTAGTAAACAATATTCCTTGCTAAGAAATATAAGGAATAGTCGCTGGACTGGATCAGATGCACGTACTATATTTAGATAGGCTTGTTGTCTTACGACCACATATACCAACTGGTTATTTGATAGCCGACGTGCAGCTTAGCACATAGAGCGATTCTTCACAGTGCCTAATTATGGGTTTTAAATAAAAATTAAATAATATATATCAAGAAATGTAGATAAAGCATATTGAATTGTCAATCAAATTTATTTTTAAATTACTTGTTCATTCCATTTGATAAGTGACAGACAGTATTTATTGTTTACAAAATATTAACATTTGTTTTGCGTACATGTTATACAATCTTTACGATTTTACTTTATCGTTTATGTCTAAAATTGTGAAAATTTACAATTGAAGACACAAGTGGATAAAGGTGTCATGTAAAAAATCAAAAAATTGTTTTTTGTCAAAAATGTTCCCTAAATATACTGTATTTTCATTTGCCTCTTTCAAAACTGACAACAAATAAGACGGAAAATATGACCAATCGAGGCAGTTTTGAAGTGGCTAGCTGCTTGCTTAGGTTTTGTCAATTGCTCAAAGAAAGCCAAAAAAATATTGATCACCTTATTTACTGGTCAGACTAATGCACAGCACAAAACAAAAATTTTACGCTTATCAGTCTCTATCAGTTTAAGTTACATCTGTTTAATAGGAAAACAAACCTGACAGGAGACAAAGTCAATTTTAGGGACGAAATTAAGTGGATAAGAGTAGATGAAATTGGTAGCTACCTGTACAAAAACTTCTGTAGATTAATTTTCACCGTTTCAAAAGGTAGACCTATTAAAAAAAAGGAAGCAGGGTAGTAACAAACGAAGATCACGTCACACTAAGACGAATTGAAGAAAAAAGGGGCAGTATTAGTTCCAAAAAAAGAAACAACTTGCGCGAGCAGCTTGCATTTGTTAAGGATGAATGTAAGTGGTTTTACGAAAATATTATAGAAGATAGTCAAGAAAACATAAAGAAAATGAGAAAACCTAAATAGTAGGTAGTAAATGTAGACTATAATTTACTTTTACAATGTTCTGTTTTTGAAAATACAATATTTTTTGGTACATAACCTCTTTTTTCATTTCCCACCTATACTACCAGGGTTTGATTTTTGCCGGATAAAGGTGTTATGTACATTCAAAGTCTATTTTTATCAAAATTATAATGCCTTTTTATAATTTTATAGTTACTTCCAAAAACTACAACCATACATACAAAAACACCTTGATATAATTTTAAATCAGAAACAGCGCAAGAAAGTTCCAGTTGATAAACTTTAAACTCATTTTTCTGGAAATAATGATTTTAGTATATGACATCTTTATCCACTTGTGTCTTTAATTGTTCAAAACTAAATATAAACATTTAGCAATATAAGAAAAACAATGCGTTTTATGTGCGGTAATTTAACATATTTGGAATGGTTTGAAATATAAAAAGCCGCCAAATAATTTCCGGTCAACTGTAACATCAAAGAATACAGCTTACTCAATCGCCTTTTTTGCTCCCATAAATCTTCCTGACATTTCAATGAGCTATGTCGATTCTGAAACGGAAAACGTTATTTTTAAATTTGTAATAGCACATTGTTACTGGGTGTATTTTAGTACGCTATTTTAGGTCAAATATAACAATCTGGTATTCACAGTTTATTGTATACTCATTTGTTTATCTATGGATATTTAATCATAGTCACTAATCTTATTAAATGAACCAGTTAACTAATAACACAATTTGTATGCAAAATTTGGTATTATTCATTAATACGGTCGCCTTATACAATGCTATTCCTCTGCGACAACTTTTTTTCGCTATACCATTCTTTTGAAGTCTTTAAGTAAGCAAGGGCAGCTCCAATCGCCATCAATCCTTCGGAGTGAGATATTTTCTCGATTAGCTCATCTGTGTCATCCTCAGTGGCATTGTGTGGGTTGATAACCATATCGGCGATTGCAAGATTTCAGTTCTTCATCATTTATCGGCATTTTCGTTGGTACTAATTAGCGAGGTCTATCACTCCAGCAATACAGTTACTATTATCTTTTCCATCACTTTTTGCTTCAATTTGAAAAAGCTTCCGCCATGACTTTTGCAAAGTTGTTACTCTCACTTCATCCCACACTAAAGCTATCCAGTAAAACACTTCCTTAACGGTGATCTTTTTAAAGGCTGCTGTCACAGTCATCCTCTCATCCAACCAGGTCAACAAGACTTGGAAAAGTCTTCGACAATAGTTCCGTTTCATAGCCTCTACAACTCCTTGTTCCAGAGGTTGAATGAGATATTATGTGATGTTTGGTGGCAATAAAACAGCTGTAATGTCATCGCTAGTCAACGAACTTGTGTCTGGATATTCTGACGTGTTGTCAAAAAAAAATAGCTTTTCTTGGTAGGTTTTTTTTTTAAGTAGGCCAACAATGCAACCGAACTCATCAAAAAACCAATATTTAATAATTTGCTAATCAATCCAAGCACTACGTTGATTTCTGTATATGGTGGGTAGACAGTTTACTTGAATATTTTTAAAACCCCTTGGATTCTTCTATTTTCCAATAAGTTGAGGTCGTAATTCTAAGGATGCAGAAGACTAGCTACACATCAAAAGAGTTACACTTTCTTTGCTTTTTTATCCAGGCGCAGTTTTTAACTTTTGGCGGCCAGTGTTTTGATTGAAAGCATCCTGAAATTGAGATCTGTTTCATCACAATTGAAGATTTGGTCTGACGTAAGGCCGTAAGATTAGAAAACCATAAAGATAAGGCTTCAGAAGTCTGTTCGTATTGTCCAGTCAGTGTTTATTCGGTTAGTCTGTTGTTAACATTTTACTATTTAAGTTTAAGTTTTATGTCACTGATTAATAAGTTATGATCCGAGGGGACATCAGCTCCAGGTAGTGTTTTAGTTATTTTGATTGAATTTCAGTACCTCTTGTTAATTGTTATATAATCGATTTGATTTCTTATGATCTTTTCTTTAGTATGTGCTGGTGACTTCCAAGGTTATAAATGACGCTTGGGTAAGTCCAAACTTCCATTGAAGTCCTCCATTATTATAGTAAGCTCTTTGTTTTTGACTCATTACCTTCTTTATACCATCATAAAAATTCTCTATGTCATCTTTACTACTGCTAGCTGTGGGCGCATAAACTTGGACCAGATTTATATCTACTGCTTTTGAGTTTAATTGCATCACGATGACTCTATCCGAAATGTAACAGATTTATTACAGAAAGAGATTTCTTTATGTACAATGAATGTGACGCCATGCCGGTGGTTAGTGCCTTCTTCTCCGGAATAAAATACATCGTGGTCGTCTATTTTATATTTACCAGTCCCTGGCCACCGCATTTCGCTTATCCCTAGAACTGGTTTATTGAGCCTTATTATCTCACATATGGTATTTTGTATCTTACCAGGCTCGTAGAGACTTCTTATATTCCATGTGCCTATTCTGATACCTGATTTTATTCTGATTTCTTCTCCTCTATCACAGGATTTCACTGGATAACGCCCTGGGAAGCCCTGTGTGCTTGTCTTCTCCTGCCGGATCTTGGTGTCCGATGATTAGTATACCTTTTCTTATCATATGATAGTGCCAGTATAATTGAACTAGGGAATAATAATAAGTTGGTTTCCCGTTGCCTTCCCCATCGCAGTATCACAACCATTTAAACTGCTCCAGTCATGCTTGTGATAGCCCAGTTTCAAGGCGATCCAGAATTGTTTACTCTACGCCTTGAGCTAGTACTGATGATCGCTGCTGGCCTTCATCACATATAGTGATGAAGGATTATCGAGAGGAGTTTTTACCTGCTATTCGTATTTCCCCTACTCACACTTTTATTAACTCATTGTTCAATATCTTTTCGTTTACGCCTCCAATCTTCCGCATTCACTTCTCCAACACCTAGGTCAGCAGCAACCTTTTTTACTGACTCACCCTTATCTAAGCGTAGCACTTAATTTTGTTTCTTAATAAACCATTACTCGTTTACGTTTTAAATTCATATTGCACTTTAAATTACGTAGAAACTACACAAAGAAAAGACATACGTGAACTTTTAAGAGCTTAGAGTCTTACAATGGGATGAACCGAACATCTATCTGTGATGACTCATACTGATGAGTGGAGGAGTGGGTGGAGAGGTGGCCAGTATAAGCATAGTGACTATAACTAGAACAATAACACTCGCTCGTGACTCATCTCTTCAGCGTTAGAACGGCCAGCTCACACACTTTCACTTGATCTCGCTTTCCAAGCTAATTTTTTACAGAACTTGTTCTTTTTAATTACTACCTCGGTTAATCCAGAGTTCCAAAGGGCTTGGTTAGTCGGGACTCGGATAATCACGACTCTACTGTATTGATATCTCACTGTACACTTTACCATTATTATCTCTTACGAGACAGGAGCTGTCCGTTACACAAAGTAGTAAGGGAGTTGAACAAATTGAGTACAATGATTCCATGTGGGAGAAGATCGAGAAACTTTCGCACGTTGGTGAGTGCATTTAAATATATTGCAATTTAAAAAATAAGCTATGATAGCCAGAGCAATTTTGTTACTGGTATCTCCAACACGTTAAAATGTTTACCAATGTATGTAACATCGAGATCTGCAAACGTTAAAAATGTTAATCGTAACCTTTTGTAAACGTTAATATTATCGCCCCTGTAGCTGTAGAAATAATTTAAAATATCGTTTTACAAATCATTTAAAATACAAGCAAAAACAAAGAATATATCCATGATATATTTTCCGAGGTTTAGCAAAGTCTACCTTCGATTTATGTTTTAACTTGCCATCTCTTATGGTTCGAAAACACGACAATTTCTATCGGAGATCTCTTCTTTTTCTTCTGTCATGCAACACGTTGACACGAATCCATTTGGACACAATCAGGAAGTGCATGACCTTTTATAGTATCTAGTTAAATGATCTTGTCTCTTCGCTAATTTGTAGTTAACTCAGTTTTTGAGTTTGGTCAATTTGTTTTTCTGCATTTTATGTTCTAGACGGAGTAGTTCATCGTCTGAATGTTAATAAGTGGGTGGCTTTTTGTTTTTCTAAATCACCATAAGTAAAATAAAAACAGTTGAGAGGATTTTAGATACAATGTATGTAGTATACAGGGTAATACGGTAAATGAACGGATAAGTCAGAATTTTTAAGACATACGTATTTATTTTTTTGTTTTTATTGTTAGGTTATAACTTCATAATGCTGTACTTTTTTGTTTGTGGGGATACAGAATATCAGATTTTAATAGCTTATAAACAACATTCTTCATAGGCGACTTTAATGTGAAAATAGGGTTTAAACAAGATGATGCAGAAGTAGCAATGCGTAAGTATGGATATGGCGACAGAAATTTACGGGAGAAAAAATTGCTGAAATTCTTACACCAAGACAGTTTATCCATGATGAACCTCAGCGTAAATGAACATAGATTAGCCCAGATAGCAGTGTCAAAAATAAAATCCATTATATTATAACAAACAGAAAAGAAATTATATCAAAGACATCGAAGACTTAAATATTATATTGGAAAGAACAAAGATGATCCTAAAAACAAGAAAAAATAAGTGGATTCCCCAACACAACAACGCCCTGTATAAAGATAGACTAACCACACATATACAAGACTTGCAAGATGAAATAAAAGCTGTAGATCAAGCAAATGATGGCATAACGAAGGACCTAAAAGAAACGGAAAGGAATTACTGCCCGAAAGTTCTGGCCCTTAAAGAAAAACTAAACCAAAATACCAAAGGGCTAATAAATAACAAAGACAGCTGGAAAAATACGACTTCAGTTACACAACAATGAAGAATTTAAATAAAAATATCCACCGGTCAATTCGAAAAGACGCAAGAGAAAACAATACAAGAGAAATAACTAAAATATTTTAAGAAAACTGTAGCATTTTCAATTTCATTGATTCTTTTGAGTATATTGAAACCTCCTCGTATAATAAAATATATTAAAAACTCCTTATATATTTTTAAAAAATGAAACGAAGAATTTTTCCGTGTTGTTAGTTCGTATCTTTCAAAGTACCCAAAAGTGTTTCGTCGCCGAGTAATAAAACCATTTGAGAGTTGTTTATTTTACTTCGGCAATTTCTTTTCAAGTTTATGCGTCGCAAAAAGATATCTACGTTTTTATTTCCGTTGTTTGTTTATATTCAAGTTAAGCGAAAACATTTTTAATTTCGTCACTATCGTTGGAGCCGCGGTGAAAAGCGGTCAACGTTATGTCCGAATTTGACTTCAAATTCGAAATGTTCCTCGTTGTTTGTGTTTTTTTATGAAGACGTTTGTTCGTCTTTTTTTTATGAAGAAAATGTGTAGCAGTGTGAAGTTAATGGTTCAGTAAATGTTTGAGTGAGGAATGGAAGAATCGTCGATTCCATCCTCGTTTTGTTTCTCCCTCGTTATCATCCAATGCTTTTGGCAGTATGGAGATAGATTTGTTCGAGATATGAAGATATAGAGATAGATAGTTGTGTTCATTACAGAGAGAGTAAAGCCCTCAGTTCCAGTTATGGTGTCGGATATTCCAGTGGCGTCTGGTTCCACAAATTCTAGTGTATTTTGTTAGTGAAAGTCCAGGTAACTTTTTGATCAAATTTTAAAGTAAAGACAGACAATTTGTTTTAAATTAAATAATTGCTTTCGTTGACATTTAAAATTGTAAATTTTAGATTTTGAGTTGAGCTGTCAATTTGTGTGTTTAGTTTTTTTTTAAATTTAATGTTAACTTATGACAGCTCGTTTTTTATTATTTTTTTGGTTATTAGTTTGTTTTATTTTTAAACAAGGTTAACCTCCATATAAATTTGTAGTTTTATGTAGTATCTCCAACTCCTGGAGTTTGTAAGCGGATGACACGTAAGTTTTGTATTTTGGATTTCTCCATTTTGTAACTGTTTGTGGTGACACATAAATAAAGGTTAAATTTTGTTGTCTTAACTTTTTATTTATTTTTTTTTGAGCTAACCCTTTTTGAGTTTATTTGAAAAAGATATGTTTTTTATGTTTTGATTTGTTTTCTAATTATTTCCCTAGTTACAACCAGTGGTTGTAATAGGTATAATTAGGCACCTCAAGTGGCGCCCTATATTAAATTCCTTGAGGTGTTTCTTGTTTATTTTTATTGTGTTTGTTCCAAGAGATTAATGACCCCTTTATTTCATTTTCTTGTAGTTGCCCCAATCCAACCCCCTTATCTTTTACTTATCCACGACCCCAGCTCTCCTACGAAACCCCGAGTGCCGTTCGCATCAGTAGCGATTATTTTGCTTGCCCTATCTCCACCCCCAATAGTTTTTCCCCCAATTTTCTATCTCCCGTATTAATGCCCCCTGTGTTAGGCAAAATATTTTCGTTACAAAACAAAAGTTTAAAAGTTTTCAGGCAAAATACGAACACCATAGGCAACAAAATATGTACAAAATAACGAAAGGCAAGATCAGCCTCTGCCCAAAATCACAAACCAGGGATCACAATAATTAATACTAGAAATAACTCCATACGAAATCAAAACGGCACTTTTAGAAATAAAAATATATCAGACATTAGACCATAAACTAACAGATAATGTTAACGATATATTTCAGATCCCTGGTTCAATTTCCTCCTCTGTCCTCGTGCTCCGTTTTCTTCATCATCCCAGAAATCAGACAGTGTACTTCTCTCAATTCTTTCTCTCCTCAAAACATTATGTTTACCATGTTTCTTTCATCAAGCCCGAAACCCATTCGCCTCTCGATATCTCCCCTCTCATTTGCCCATCTCCGGCAGTTAAAAATGGACGGGAGCGTCCGGTACCACACAAACAGTACAGTCTACCGAGGCAGATTTGCTTACTCTATTTGTGAAGGTGCCAAAACTACCATGTCCGGTCAGAAACTACGCCAGGAAGTAGTCTAGTTTCCTGAACTTACATTCACAGGTTAGGTTTGGTTAGGGTTACGGCCTGAGTTTGTTTAATCTTCAAAGCTTAAGTATGTTTAACTAGAGATTATCTATAGCATAACATGAGATCATCTGCGAATGCACACTCAGCTATACCAACCGGTCGTAGTTTACTATATCCGATATGTACTGTGTGTATACTTGCTTTTGTTTCCGTAATTATGTCATCACTAATCAATATGAACAGTGTGGGGCTCATAACACCTCCTTGTCTTAGACCATCGTTTATTGCAAACATCTCTGATTCCAAGTTATTCTTACGTACATAACTCTTGTTATTTTGATAGCACCTGTTAGTTGATGGTCAATATTTCTATTTTGCAGACTTTTCCAAACTGTTTCCTGGGACACTCTGTCAAATCATTTCTCAATATAATAATAATAATTCTTGTTTCGATACTGGTTTACCCTACTCGATTAGTAAGTAGCTTTTTCTTCTTCAGAACTCGCGGTGTATAGAGGTTAAAAAACTTCTTCAAGATATTTTCCAAATTTATCTGCTTTTTTATCGGTTTTGGCTCATTAACTAGTTTTTCTTATTACGAGATTGTTTTAATTTTTTGGTAGCTTTTGATAGTCAATAATTAGTAGCTTACTTACTGACTTTCCGTATCCGGAACACCAACAGCTTAAAATTTTGTATTTCCAATGGTTGGTCACATAAATGGCCCAGTTATTCGGTAAAAATAGGTCTTCTTCTATACAGGTCTCTCTCATCTCTGTGCATGATAGTAGATGGTGACTATTCTGAACCACGCTACAGTCACAGGTATCGCTCTCTTGGTATTCCCATTTTTTCAGGTTCTTAGTCTGTTTAGCGTTTTCCATGTCGGATACGGCAAATTGTGTCCAGCAGCCATTTTCTCCTATAGAGCAAAATGTGTTGTAGTTGACGCTTGCCATAGGTGTTTTCGGTGCATCTTTGGCTCTTTGGGAAGGGATCGTGATTTTTCAGAAAACTTTTCCGAGATCTTAGTCTCATTGGCTGAACTTGGTGGTTGTACAAGATGTGATTTCGATCCGTTTCCTACTTCCTTCGTTCTATCTCTGACATGACCTGTCTTGTGATAGCAGGTGGAGCAATTCCAATTATAGGGTAGACCTCTTTAATAGGTGTCTGTTTCAGACAACTAACCGTTTCATTTCACGCAACATCGACGTTTTTAGCGTGAGCAAAGTTTTTCCACACTGGTGCTCCAAACTCGGCGGCAGAAAATTATAATGCTAAGGCAGAAGAACGGAGAGTGCGTGGTTGTGCTCCCCATTTTGTATTTGTTAGTTTGCGGATGATATTACTTATGGGGCTTAATTTTTTCTTGACATCTTGACAGTGATCGATACCACAGAGTTCTATCCAGACGTACGCCGAGGTATTTTGGCGTCTCATTATGTTCCAGCATCTGACCACGCCATTCCACCTCCAGTGTCCTTCGGGCATGCTTGTTTCGAAGGTGGAAAGCACATACCTGGGTTTTTTGTAAAATGGGGTTTCAGATGGTTTTCGTCATAGTAAGTATAGGGTTATGTCTTCTAGGGCATCTGTCTAGTCTTCTAGTACTTGAAGGTACTTTCCTGAGCTGCCATAGCTGTATCATCCGCGTAAATAAACTGTCTTGTTTCTTCCCTGTATCTTGACACTTCCCTGTGGGAGTCCATTTTTTTGGTCCCTCCTTCAACTGTTCTTGGACTGGAGCGTTACATAGAAGCGTCTATTCTGGAGAAGGCTGGAGAAAATTCTTTGTAATTTCGTAGAGTTTTACCAGCAATCGTTGATGGTTAACTGTGTTATAGGTGGCAATCACTTTAAAAACGAGGTCATTCTTCTGTAATGATAACTTGCAACTTCAACTTTGAAAGCGCATGGTTAAATGCTACATTTGGTCTGTCCTCTTATACTATGTCGAAGCATGGACACTAAAAATATCCACCATTCATCGTCTGGAGGCGTTTGAAATGTGGCTGCATAGACGTATACTAAAAATTCCATGGACGGCTATGCTGACAAATATGGCAGTCCTTGAGAGAGCAAATGCTGCTCGCGAGCTGCTTGATAACATCAAATGTAGAAAGATGGCCTATTTTGGACACGTGGTAAGGGGAGACCGATATAATATTCTTCAACTTAGTATGATGGGTAAAATCGAAGGACGCAGAAGAATTGGTAGAAAGCAGGCCTCTTGGTTGAAGAATATCAGGGAATGGACAGGAATAAGGAAAGCTGAGCAACTCTTTAGAATAGCTC